GTCGCGAATGTTGCTCACGACGCGAGGTCTGGGTACACCCCAAACGCGCGCATCATATCAGGCCGTGCCGAGGTCTGCCCAGAACCGGACCCGCCGAGCATCGTCCCAGCAGAACGACTTCTCGAGCCGAGCCCAGCCGCATCCGCATGAAGATACCCTAGACTCTGGTGAGGGGCAACGATAGGGAGGGACCAGCTCAGGGGAGAAACATTGACTTGAGCGACCGTACGTAGGAAAACATTGCGACCTTACGCCGCGGCTTACGCGGGCCGCCAGCGTGCCACACCGCGTAGAGAAGAGGGCGCCTACGCGCGGCCTTACGCGGGAAGCTCACGCGCGAATGGCGGCGCGGACGACCTCGTTTCCCCCGTCGCGCACTAGAATGGCGACACATCGCCGAGTGATCGGCGATAGGCCCCCGATAGCGAATCCGCACGTTCCTGGGCACGGTACTCTATTGGGCCCCTCGCGGCGATGAGTAGGCAAGAAGGGGTCGACGCATCCCCATCGCAAGCCTATGCCCCCGCAGCGTCGTCCCTGATCTAGCGGCCTGCGGAGGACAGAGAAGCAGATAGGTACGACGTGACGTCAAGCGTCGTCGTCCCGCTCCGAGCCGGAACCCGCGCAGGCTCCCCCTGGTGCCCGCCCCGGCAGATTCTCCGAGCGTCGAGCAGGAGATCGACATCAGGATTGATTTACCCCAGCACTGGAAAGTGTCGCTGGTCTATAAGAAGAATTCATATGCGTGGACCCATACGAACAGTCTACGCACGATCCTTAAATTCGACGGAAAGTTAAATTCTGAAGAGAATTGATTATGTAACCGATCCCCTAATCGAGAGCGGCACCCGGCCGTGGTGACCTGAGCCCTCAGAAGCGCGCGGACACATCCCCGAGGCGTCTCCACTGAGACCCGCCGTCGCCACAGAAAAACATTGCGGAAGATCGTGGCCCGAACCCTCGACCACATCTCTCTTGGGCGTCGCTTGAGGGAGGGAGCGATATGGGGGGGGAGAGAGGTGCACTTCTCGGGCCCGAAAGGCCCCCTTTGGGGGGCCCAAGGGCCCCTTCAGGGACCCTGAACCCTAACCTTCCAGAGCGCTAAAAAAATAGCACTCCAGACCTGTAGATCTAATTATCTGGACCTCCTCTAACCTCGACAGGAATTGGGACGTCGACGTCCTGGTGCTATTTTTTTAGCCCTCCTGGAAGGTTAGGGAAAGGCCCCTTTTCTGCAGCCCTCTCTGCCCCCCCCCATGGACCACACCCGCAAAACGCGACGCCCACCTCTGCGGTGCTTCTCAAGCCGGATCGATGGCTCTACGAGGACCCCATGGCCCGAGAGACCCGGCGCAAACAGCACGGCCGGCGCGAACAACCTGCAACGCCCGGATCTTCTGGCCTGTCGTCGCCACCGCCACTGCTAGAAGAAAAAAAACGCCATGTACATAAACTTTTGGCGCTCCGCACGGATTTCTTGGATCTGCGCTCGACCCCCTCCCTGGCGCGCGGAGCGCGCCAGGGGCGGCGCCGGAGGCGCCGCTGGAGGGGCCCAGCGCGGTTCCGAAAGTTTCTGTTTTGTGTCTTCTTCGAACTGCCGCCGTCGCCACCGCTGTCGGCAGCGGCCCCGAACCCCTGACGTCAGGACTTTCTCGCAGCGTGTGCCCCCAGAGGTCTGCGCCCCTCTCCTTGGACGGGCCTCTCCTCCTGCGTCGTCTGTGTTGCGGCCCCGGAGCCCGGCGAGGGCCTCCCCCGGTCCCAGGGCCCGGCGAGGGCCCCCGGAGGCCGGAAACGGCAGAAACCTCTCGACATGGCTCCTTCACGACGAGCACGTCTTGGGGCGGCGGGATCTACACGCACCAGAGCTCCCTGGCCAGGCCCCTCTCGAGCCCAGCAGCGGCGTGTGTGCGCCACGCCCCCGCCACGCCCCCCTGGCTTGGCCAGGAGGGCGTCTGCACAGCTCCTGGGCTCAGGATGGGCCTGGCCAGGGAGCAGTGGACGGGTATCCAGACATGCGACGTTCTGACTTTTTCAGGACAGCGTCCCTGGAAGTCCCGACCACTTCTCCGGGACCCGTTTCTCGTCCGGAGTCGTTCGTTGACGTTCCCGAGGCCCGGCGAGGGCCCCTGCAGGCCGAAAAGAGCCAAAACCTTCCGTCCTGCTTTTTGCACGACGCGATCCTGTCTGGGTAATAGACTCTGTCGCCCGCATGTCTGAGGGGTCGGGAGGGACCAACGAGAGCAAGTAGGGGGAGGAGGAGGAGGAAAAGGCGATGGCGAAGGGAGACGAGGAAGGAAATGGGGCCACGAGGAGGAGGACACGGATGAGGAGTGGGAGGAGGAGGGAGGAGGAGAGGAGGAGGAGGAGGAGGAGGAGGAGGGAGGAGGAGGAGGAGGAGGAGGAGGAGAGGAGGAGAGGAGGAGGAGGAGGAGGAGGAGGAGGAGCAGGAGGAGGGAGGAGGAGGAGGACGAGGACGAGAACGCGGACGAGTCGGCGGCGCCGTCTCGCGCGGGTCCTTGCCGGGGCCGCTGGCGGCGGACTCCGTCGGCCGCCGGTGGCCCCGGTCGGCGCCGGAGGCCTCGGCGGCGGAGGCCTGCGGGGCGGGGCGGGGCGGGGCGGAGTCCGCGGGGCGGAGTCTGCGGGGGGGGGGGGCGGCAGGCCCCCCCCCCCCTACTCCTCCTCCCTCGTCGTCGTCGGCGTCCTCCTTCTCCTCCTCCTCCTCCTCCTCCTCCCTCCTCCTCCTCCTCCTCCTCCTCCTCCTCCTCCTCCCCCCTCCTCTCCTCCTCCTCCGCTTCCTCTGCCTCCGGTTTTTCCCCGGAGTCTGCGGGGGGGGGGGGGGCGCCGCCGTCAACAGGTGCGACGGAGAGCTGTCGCTGCCTGTTTCTGGCCTCTCGGGGAGCCTGGCGGGGCCCGGGAACCCCTGGCGGGGGCGGGGCGGGGCGGGCCGAGCCTGCGGGGGGAGGGGGGGGGGGCGCCGGGCCCCCGCCCCGGACCTTCCAGGAGGGCTCAAAAAAGAGCACCAGGACGTCGGCGTCCCAATTCCTGTCGAGGTTTGAGGCAGTCCAGATAGATCTATGGGTCCGGAGTGCTGCTTTTTAGCACTCTGGAAGGTCAGGGTCTGCGCCGTCAACATGTACGACGGAAAGCTGTCGCTGCTGTAGCTCGGGCACGTCCTCCTGCAGGCGGACTTTGGAAGAGAAATGAAATAAAGAGATCGTCCCCATCCTATGTTTTGCACATTTCTGAAAATTCCTCCTGGAGATGGACATGCCCGACTTAAAGCAAGTCCCCTCGCGCCGTCAAAATGTACGACGGAACGTTGTCGCTATGTTTGGCCGTGATGGCGGTCAGAACACGACTCAGGCGGAGAGGCAAGCCCCCAGGGAGGGGTCCAGACCTCTGGGGATCCACGTGTCAAAAAAAAATGGCCGCCTCCTTGGGATCCATACTCGGCGTGGAAAAGACTCTCCCTCCCTCTCCTCAAACCCCTCCCCCGGGGACCTGGTCCGGCCAGTTGCGACGGGGAGGTCCAGCCAACAGGTCCGGCGGCCCCGGCTGCTCAAGGGACCCTCCTGGAGAGCCTCCGACGACCTCAACCAAGCCCAGAGGCCCCGAGACGGCACGCAAAGACTCCCACACGGGACCAGATCGCGCCAACACGCCCCAATGCGGCCTCAAGACAGGCCGTTGAGCTTCCCAGACGCCTCCTGGAAGCTTCAAGAGGACCCCCAACAAGGCCCTCCAGGCAAAAATCGCCCCATTACCTCAGGAAAACATTCGACGTCTTCGTCTCCACAACGCTCGCGACGGCCCTCAAGGCGTCCAACACCGCCGCAAGTCACCTCAACCGGCCCCCTGGGAGCACCAGGACAACTCCATACAGCTCCAGGCCGGTCTAAGAGGCGCCCTGGACGGCCCCAGAGGGCCCCGGGAGGGGCCTCAGAGGGGCCCGCGACAGCACAGGATGAACAGCCCAAGAGGCGTCCAAGACGGCCGAGGATGGCCCCAAGAGACTGGACAGGAGGCGACAGGCCCTTCGCAAGCGCAAACAGGGCACTGGTTCACGATCCCAGCATGTCACCAAGACGCCTCCTCATCACCCGCCTCCCCGTCTCCCTCCTTTACTCCTCTTGCTCCTCCTCCTCCTCCTCCTCCTCCTCCTCCTCCTCCTTCTCCTCCTCCTCCTCCTCCTCCTCCTCCTCCTCCTCATCTCCCTGGCTGCTCGCACTGGCTGGCGGGACGCTTTGGACGACTCTCGCCCTGGGAACCAGAGAGCCCCAGTGAATCGGCGACTCGACGTAAGCCGTAAAATCATGACGCACGGAGTCTGGGGGCAGACAGCCAGACAGACAGTCTGGCCGCGGTCGGAGGCCGAGGCGGGCATCGCGGCAACGAGTTGCATCTATACAGATGGCGGGTTCCGGGACACCTCGGCCCCCCAAACTAGCATCTCTTGGGGGGGCGATGTTTGTCCATCCGCTGGCCCCCGCCGACGTCACCGCCCCCGCTTGGCTTACGCCAGCTTCCGCCGAGGAAGAGATGGCAACTCCTGACTCCCTCGAAGGCGACGCCCTGCCGGGAGCAGATCCCTGGAAGGCGAAAGCTTTGCGTGAATCCTTCGAGGGCGGGTCCCTCCGCGAGGACAGGAAGAGGTCCGCGCAGGTCTCCTGGGTCGGCGCTGGACCCCCTTACGGCGCATCAGGCGCCTCCGCGGCCAAGCAAGGATGGCGCATGCACCAATGGCGGGCCCATGCTGGGCACGGCCGCGGCGGGCGAGGCGGTCGGCTGACACCCCCAACGGGTGAAGGAAGCACTGCACAGGCATCGACACTCGGAGGTCCGCACGGAGCTCTCAGGTCGGACAGACAAACATCAGCGAGCGAAGAGCGGTATAAAATACACTTTTTCGCCGTCGGGGGCACCTGCCCCTGACTGGGCGGCTGGACAGTTTATACCCCTACGGTGCCACCGTAGGGGTATAAACTTTCCAGCCGCCCTGGGGCAGGTGTCCCCGACAGCGAAAAAGTTTATGTTATACCGTTCTTCGCCCGTTAAAAACAGACAGACAGACAGACAGACAGACTGACAGACAGACAGACGGACAGACGGACAGACAGACGGACAGACAGACAGACAGACGGACAGACAGACGGACAGACAGACAGACAGACTTCTCCCGTCGCAGCGCGGCAGAGGCCATCCGCACGCGCGCGCTCTCGCGGCCCGGCACGGGATGGCGTGCGAGTCGCCCGGCGGCAAGACAAGGGGGAAGGAGGCGGAGGGCGGCCGCGGAAAGCGGGCGGGCGAGGAGGACCCACCAGGCACAGGCAGACAGACCGACAGACGGACAGACAGACGGACGGACAGACGGACGGACGGAAGGACGGGAAGACGGAAGGACGGACGGACGCACGGGCGGGCGGATGCCGCTGCGGCAGAAGCTGCTCCGACGGCTGGGAGGGGGCGGGGGCGCGCTGCACCCGCCGGCGCGCCGCGGCGAGCTGATGGAGGAGGTCGGCTCGGAGGTGGTACCGCGCTGATCCCCCAAGCAGTCATGCGCACACGAATTGGGAGGAGGAGGCGGAGGCGGAGGCGGAGGAGGAGGAGGAGGAGGAGGAGGAGGAGGACAACGAGGAGGAGAAGCAGGCAGAGGGGGGGAGGCGGAGGAGAGGGAGGAGGAGGGGGAGGACGAGAATGAGGAGGCGGGATGTAGAGGAGCCCTTCTGCTTTGGAACCTGGGTGGACCGAAGCCAAAGGAAAGGAGAAGGGGGGCAGGCGAGGGAGAAGAGGGGGAGGAGGGAAGCATTGATGATGATGAGAAGAAAGGTGAGAAGACAGGATCCGGAAGAGCAACAGACCCAAGGGTAAGAGAAGGCGGGCGCGCGACCCTCCTCATCTCTCTCCTCCATCTCTCTCCTGTCACTCCTGCCCCTCTCGCCTCCTTCCTCCACCTCTCCATTGTCCTCCTCCTCCTTATCCTCCTTATCCGCCTGCTCCTCCTCCTTCTCCTTCTCCTCCTCCTCCTCCTCCTCCTCCTCCTCCTCCTCCTCCTCCTCATGCTCCTCCTCCTCCTCCTCCTCCTCCTCCTCTTCCTCCTCCTCCTCCTCCTTCTCCTCCCCATCCTGTATTCCTGTGTTCCTGAGGCGCCACACTCTAGCTCCCGAGTGCCACACTAAGGACCTTGCACTGCAGTCAAGGGGAAAAGGTCTCCGCACCCCTCCCGTCCTCCGCCGCCGCCTCCTCCTCCTCGCTCTCGTCCTCCTCTTCCCCAGACGTGCGATGTGCTGCTCTTGCCGATACGGGCTCCAGAAGTCCCGACCCTTTCCCCGGGGGGGCGGCTCCCATCCCGAACCACACATGCTGACGGCCCCACGGCCCAGCCAGGGCTTCCCAGAGGCCGAAGACTGCCAAAACCCTCCCGCCGTTGTGCTTTCTGGACGCGCGCACGTCTGGGTCTGCCTCCCCCCCTCCTCCTCCTCCTCCGCCTCCGCCTCCTCCTCCGCCTCCTCCTCCTCCCCCCTCCTCCTCCTCCCCCTCCCCTCCTCCTCCTCCTCCTCCTCCTCCTCCTCCTCCTCCTCCTCCTCCTCCTCCTCCTCCTCCTCCTCCTCCTCCTCCTCCTCCTTCGTCTCCGCGCGTTCGGCCGACCCGGGCCTCCCGGCGGTCTGCCCACCGCGCGTCACCGCGGCCGTCGCCGCGCCCGGAGGGGTAGGCCTGCAGGAGGCGGGCGCGGAACTCCGCGCGGACAGCGCCCAGCCTCCTCCTCCTCCTCCTCCTCCTCCTCCTCCTCCTCCTCCTCCTCCTCCTCCTCCTCCTCCTCCTCCTCGAAGCAAGACTCTGCATCGAGTGCAGGCCCGGAGACCCCGGCGGCTGAATCCATTCGAGCCGGGCGCTCTCGCCCAGCTTCTTGCCCCAGGGCCCTCACAGATCGAGATGGCTCGAAACATGTCGCAGGAGCATGGGGTCCAGGGCTCTGGTCGTGATGTTTCATGATGTCGAATGCTTGTTCGCAACACCGGATCTCAAGGAAAAACTGAACATACACCTTCGGAGCTCCAAAAGTTTCTGTTTATGCAGTCTTGTTCTTTCTCAGAGGATGCCTCCTCGTCGTCGTAGTCCTGATCGTCCTCGTCGTCCTCGTCCCCTCTTGAGACCCGACGTCACCCCCCCAAAAAAAACAACATCGTGAAAAAAAGCACGGCCAAAGAGCCTCAATTACGTAGGCACAATCTGCCTGCTTCACTTGACCCTGATCGACATGTGATGGCCCGGGGCCCGAAGCCGGGTGAAAACGCCCGCAGATGTCAGGGTCAAATCTTCTTCCTCCGCCTCCTCCTCCTCCTCCTCCTCCTCCTCCTCCTCCTCCTCCTCCTCCTCCCCCTCCTCCTCCTCCTCCCCCTCCTCCTCCTCCTCCTCCCCCTCCCCTTCCTCCGACTCGTTTTTGCTTCCTCGATTCCTCTCAGCTTCGTCGGCCCCCGCGCGCCGGGATGATCGCCGGCGCGG